CTCGATTTTCTGATTCCTGTTGGGCTGAAGCTGTCTATACTGCAATATATTTGCATAACTGAATACCTTCCAAAGTGACAGGCCTAACTCTGTTTGAGATTTGGTATGGCAGAAACCAGCTCTAAAACATTTTAGACCATTTGGTTCCAAAGCTTATGCATAAATACCCAAGGAAAGAAGGGGAAAGCTAGACCCCCGAGCAGAACTTGGTATCCTTGTTCGGTATGCACTTGGAGGAAGAGGATATAGAATCATGGATCCTAATACTCGTATGATCAAAGACTGTAATGTGGTACATATAGATGGCAACAGCATGTTACAAGTCCCTGAACAAGCTGAGTCCAGAGTGCAAACTGAACAGCACACTACAGCAGATGTTTCTTTCAGTGACCTGGTCATTTGGCAACCTGCAGAGACCACCTGTGAACAGGCAGGTCCACTTTCAATAGAAAATACTGAATCAGAAGGGGAAGCAGGAAACCTTAGGCCAAGGGAGACAGATACACAGACTGCAACTTCCATGAGAAGATCAGCAAGGGACAACAAAGGCATACCACCATCGAGACTTGGCATTTGTGCAACAGTACAACTTGTCAAAGAACCTTCAAGCTGGAGAGACATAAAAAGACTACCTACACCAGAGAGAAACAAATGGATGGACGCAATGAATGATGAAATCAAATCCTTACATGAGAAGCAAGCTTGGACACTTACAAAGTTACCTCCTGGAAGAAAAGCTATCGACAACAAATGGGTGCTCAAGGTGAAATACAAAGACAAGCAGCAGACACATCGCCATCAAATGTCTTTTAGTGAAAGATATGGAAAAGAAAGGACTGATTGAAGTTCAATACTGTCCTACTGAAGAAAAGATCGTGGACATTTTGACCAAGCCACTCAACGCAGCCAAGATCGCAAACCTATGTAAAAAGATGAACCTAATTGATCCAAAGCATGACTGAAATGTTAGAACTTGAGAAGGGGTGTTGGAATTGCAAGTTGCTTACACTTCAGTCATTACAGAGTTAAATGTTGTTTGTTAGGAAACAGGAAACGTTATATAATGTATTCTACAGCGGGGGAAAGTTTGTGGGAGTTGTTTACCCTAATGAAATGACCTGTAACCTTTGTATTGGTCAACTAACAACTTGTTTGTGGAAATGCTTTGATCTAGCATTAATATATTCACAAGGTTTATGGCCCTTTGTGTGAACCAAAGAGGAAGTTCTCTTCTAGAAGCCAAGACAGTTAGAAAGATGTAGCTGTTAGCATATATTACTGAGAGTAACTGCAAGTATGTAACCTTTTATTTTATTCCTTTTATCCAAAGTACCATACCCATGTTTTATTTAGTTTTATGGTAAAGATATTTTTCTTGTACTAAGTGTGTGCTCTTGTGTTTGCAATATGACCATCAACCCTGAATCAAAGAATCCCAACAAATTCATAACTGTTTTACCCCACAACAACCCTGTGAGGTAGACTAGGCTGAAAGAGAGTCACCTGGCTTAAAGCCAACCACTGACCATCACAAGCACAGCAGGGATTTGAACCCACAGTAGTCCGGAGACATCAGAATTTATGCTTCTCCTGTTTCACTACACAACAACCCTGCGAGGTGGGCTACGCTGAAAGTGAGCTGACTGGCCAAAAGGCAACCACTGGCTGTCAGGGCCAGAGCAGGGATCTGAACCCAGGGTGATCTGGAAACGGTCGCCATTTATTCTCTAGGAATTCACCTTACAACAACCCTGTGAGGTAGGCTGGGTGAAGGTGATTTAACTGGCCTAAAGCCCAACCACTGACTGTTGGGGCCAGAACAGGGATTTGAACCCAGAGTAGTCTGAAGAGCAGGGATTGGAACCCATGATGATCTAGCAACACGAGCCCTCTTTCCTCTAGGGTTCATACTCAGAAGTTTCACCTCACAATAATCCTGTGAAAGTGATTTAACTGGCTGAAAGCCCAGCCACTGACTGTCTGGGTCAGAGCAGGGATTCGAACCCAGAGCAGTCTGGCGATTATTAACCAGTTCCTGTCTAATTGTTCATGCTTTCCCTATTCTACCTCCCAACAACCCTCTAA